CCCCGCCTCGGCGGCGGCCAGCGCCGCGCCCGCGCCCGCGCCCGCGGCGGGGCCCTCCGCGCGCGCGCCGCAGCGCAGCGCGCCCAGCGCGGCCGGCACGTCGTCGCAGATGACGCCGTGCACGCCCAGCGCGGCCTGCGCCACCACCCACTCCGGGTCGTCGTTCTCCCGCCCGTACGTCAGCAGCCGCAGCCGCGGCGCCGCCGCGGCGACGGCCGCCGCGAAGCCCGGGTCGGCCTGCAGCGCGCCGCTGTCCACGACGAGACCCGCGAGCCCGCACTCAAGCGCCACGTCGAGCGCCGCGGCGAGGCTCGTGCGGCGCAGGTCTGCGTGCGCGTCGGTGCCGCCGGTGGAGAGGAAGAGCACTGGCCAGCGGGACTGGCGGGCGCGGAGCTCGCGGCAGACATCGGGGTCGAAGGAGCTGAACACAACCTGCCGTTCGCCCGCGCCCGTGCCCGCGCCGCCGCCCACGGAGGGCGGGCAGCAGCGCTCGACGGCGGCGAGGATGGGGCCGATGACGCGGTCGACCTCCTCAGGCGGCGTGACAGCCAGGTCGTCGGGGGTCGCCATCTTGACTTCGATGTCGAACCCCACGCCAGGCGGCAGCGCCGCGAAGACCTCCTCGAGGGTCGGGAAGCCCTCGTCCAGCGCGCACCGCCAGTGCCGCGGCGGGCTGCGGCCGCGGGGCGGCGAGGCGCCGCGCGGCGGTGAGGCCGGGGGCGCGGCGGCGGCGGCGGCGGCGGCGGCCTCCTCCCAGAAGGAGCGCACGACGGCGAGGCGCGTGGCGGCGGCGCCGGCGCTGGACGTGATGGATCCCAGGGCCTTGAATTCTGCCAAGGTCAGGTCCCCGACAGGAGCGCGGCTGGGGGCGGAGGGGTCCCCGAAATCGACGGTGTCGTCGTGCCAGAGGACCGGCACGCCGTCGCGCGTGACTTGGACGTCGAATTCCACGAATGACGCGCCGGTGGCGGCGGCTGCGAGGAAGGAGCCGGTGGTGTTCTCGCGCCACGCAGGGATCAGCGTGCCGCCGCGCAGGATGTTGGCGCCCATGCTGCAGGGTGTTTCGGAGAGGGGGCCGCGCGGCGCAGAAACGCGTTGGATGCTGGCGCATAGCGCATCGCGTGAGGGGGGTTTGAATGCGGGAGGCTGGTGCATGGCAAAGGGGGTTGACCCCGTTCTCCAACGGGGTCGATTGACCGGGGTGTGGCAAGGTTCACCATGGTCAACAGGGTTTTAATCAGCATGCCGATTGCATGTTGCTGGGGATCATGCTTAGTTGACGAGAGTCGACGCACTGCTGTGCTGCTGCCAACACCGAGCGCAGGTTGCTGGGCACAAATGCAGGTCGCAAGTCGCCGCTGACACGAATTCCTTGGCTGCCTGCTGCAAACACTTGCCCGCGGTGGCCTCCGACCGCGAACGCGGCCTCCATGAGCCTCCCGTTGGCTATGGCCTGCATACGCATTGCATTTGGCCATTGGAAGGCGGCAGGAACGACGAATTGCGGGTGCCTCTTGTCCAGCAGGAGTCGACGGCCTCACCATATGCGGCATCCTTTGACCAGCAGCGATCAGTGACATATTGCTGCTGCTGTTGCTGCTGCTTTTGCTGACTACCCTTGCTGACCGCGCGAGGCAACTTTGGGGTCCCTGGACACGGGGCACTAGAAGAGCCCCGCGCGGCCGGGTTGACATAACATGGCTTCTCAACTGCATACTGAACGAATGATGGGCGCCGAGGTGGGGACCGCTCAAGTGACCATTGAAAAACGCCTTGGCTGCCGTTGCCAACTGGCGTCTGTGGCGAATACGTTCTGGACCGGCAATGTAGCTGAAAGGACAAGCTTGTTGTAGAGAAGTGTGACATTTCCCCTTCACCACATTTGGTCAGCCATCACTCGAACCAGACCCGGAACGTCTTTCTTTTCGCCGCCTGGCCCCGTGTCTGCTCGGATGCAGTCAATCAACACCTTCCGTGGCTCTTCAGCCAGCCGAGCTGGCGTTCGGCGCGTCCCAGCGCGATTGGTGGCATCAACGCGTGCTGCTGCCGCGCCTGCTGCACGCTTTGGCGGCGGCCGTGATGGAGGTGAGCACTCGCGGATGGCAGGAGGATCATGCAGTTTAAGGTGAAGTTGCAGCTGTGGGTTGCCAGTTGAGGCCATAGATGGAGCGCATGCAGCTGGGCAGCACGAGGGGCAGCGCCTGTGACATCACAAAAGCCGGCTTGTCCAGCTCCAAATCAAGCATGCCGCTCTGCGTCTCCGCATGCAGTCAGCGCCAGATACCCTGACTTCAGGCTGCTGTGTGCCAGGCTGGTGCTGCGCCCAATCAGGCCCGTGCTGCAGGCGCTTCTCACCCTGCTGCCGCCTGCTGCAGGCACGCCCCTGAACCCCTGTGCACCACGCTCTGTGCATCCATCCGCAGGCGTTGCAGAGCGCCCAAAGGATGTCAACGTGGTTGAAAAGGCGGGCTGGAACACGGACAAGGACACCGGCGGCGTTGCCACGCTTGCGCGCCCCGAGTCTGGGGACGGCGCGGCCAGCGGCAGCACGAGCCCGCCCGGCGGAAACTTCCGGCTGCTGCTCGTCGACGCGCCCTCGCACACCGAGCAGAGGGTGGTGTCCGGGATCTGCGGCGTCGTGCGCGGCGTGGACGAGACGCACGCGCGCAACTGCTACCAGACCAGCAAGCAGCTGGGCATGGCGATCGTGGTCAGCTGCCTGAAGGAGGTGTGTGCCTGACGCTGTACAAGCGCCTGGCGGCCACCTCCGGTGGTGGTATTGTTGTCGGGCCAGTGGTGCTGCATTGCGGGTTACACCGCTTGCTTGCGCAGTGGTTGGACGCACGCCATGGGAGATGCCTGCGGTTGGGGTTGCGCCGGGGGCCATGTGTGCAACTGGACAAGTTGATGAAGACCACGAGCAGATGCCTCGTCGCGCATGCGTCCCTCGTGCTTGGCGGAGGTCGTGCCCAGGACATCTGGGTCGCCACCCCTGCGAACTTCCCTGCCGTTCCTTGCGAACAGCAGAGTGGAATGAAGGAACGGCATTCCTGTCTGCGCCCCTGCCGCCTCTGCCGCATCACCCCTCCCGCACCCCTTGCTCTCCTGCCCCCCTCCTGCCCCCATCCTCAGCACGCCGAGTTCTACCGCCAGCAGCTCTACCTGCACGGCCTCAAGACAGCCATCGAGCCGGACAGGTCAACTGCCTGAATTCAAAGGGCCCGTGAACACCGCTATGGCCTGGCAACAACCAATCCGGCAAACAGGGACCGCCTGCAGTTGCGGCGCAGTGAGCGGAGCGAGGAGTGATTGCTAGAGTGGGCGTCACTGCAGCGAGCGTTAATCTGAGAGTCGCGTCTGTGCAGAGCAGATTTTTGTGGCGGTGTTGGTGTGATGATCAAGCAATGTCATGTCGTACGCATGGACCGCGTTTTGTAGTGCACAGGCTGACGATGGTTGGACAGTGGAGTGGTGCCGCACCGCAAGCGGATGGTCTGCAGCAGCATGTACATGTGCTGGCTGTTTTGTTTTGGAAATCGTTATTCAAGAGCGAGGATGTGGGCGGAGTGGACAGGTTGTGATCAGATTGCACATACAGGCCTGGGATTTCTGCTCATCAAACGCGTCCCTTTTGGCGCGAGTACTGGCCTGTGCTGCAGTACTACCACTGCGTGCAGCACTTTATCGAGTCCACATTTGACTGTTTGAGCGCTGGTTGTTTTGTTTTCATGGCTTCACCAAACATAGCATACTTGATTGTATGCAAACAGGCTTTTCGTAATTGTTTGCTTGGTTATTACCAGGTCAGGGGCACAACAATTTCTGCAGGGATTAGGAACAACACAACCGGCAGCATGGGGCGAGCGCATCCAACATGTCTGGCACCATGCGTCCGGCCCACCAAGCATCAACTGCGGGGCTTCAGGGGGCATGCACTTGCGGCAATCAATATTGATAAGCTACGACCCCATCCTAAATGCATCCAATGCTGCAGACATGAAAGCGCGATGATCACAAACGATTTCCAGAGCAGTTGCCTTCATGAATAGCTCGCAACTTTCGAGGGTGCATTGGCACTCCCTGTGGCAGGCAGGGCGAGACACGCACAGAAAGGCATGCAGAAAGGTGTGTGCACAAAGGTCGTAGAGATAAGGGAAAAGCTCGGGGTTGAAATTCGGCTGCCGCCGCTCACCCGCTCGCCGTGTCAACAAATGCCAGTTGATATCTTGCGACGCAATCACACCACCCTGACCCAAATCTTTGAACGCAACCCGAATGTTAGTAGTCAGCAGGTGCCACACCTCCCAACCCGCTCAAATCCTATTGACCATCCACGAGAGGGAACCAAGAACCCCGACACGATCAGCGGTATTGCAGGCCGCGGCCTCACAATTGCGCTGACCGTCACCTTGCTCGGACCGCCACGGGCTTCGCAAGTCATCCCTCTCAGCCCTCGTTGAGCCCGGCCGCATCTGTTGCAGCCGCCGGGTTGAAGCCGCCCCCGGGACTTGCCAGCTTGAGACTTTTGGTTGATGCTCAGCGAACGCCCCATACCTTGTCACCTCTGGAAGACGCCAAAAGTTGGCGCGCTGATGGCCAGCTGGTAGATCGACCCCAGCGCCCCCAGGACGCCCACCGAAGCTGACAGGACGATGGTGATCCAGCACGCCCACCAGTGGGCACTGAATGTAGGCGGCTTCTTGAGCTTCAGCCACACGATCGGCGGGATTGTGTACGATGTGGGGGTCGTGCCCAAAGCGCCGACCAGGCCCATGATGTCACCTGCAAACAACAGCGGCAAGTTGGGTGGATGTGGTGATTACCAAAATGGTCAAAACGATCACGAGCATGGGCAACACGACCAAGGTTATGGAACCATCATGGGGTCCATACATACATTGATTAGCAATGCAGATCGTCTCGGTCCTGCACATGCTTTGGTCCGTATCAACGGAACCAGGGATGGCGTTCATATCGTGCCAGTACAGTGCGTCATCCGCAGCACAGCCCAGGTGAGCCCCATTGTTGTGGCGGTTGACGGCACGAGTGCCTTGGGGACCATCCGAACCAGCCAAAATCACCCAGCCATTATCGTGTCTGGCGTCTGTGCGCACCAAAGAAGGGGAGCAGGCAGGCCACAAACGCCGTGAAGACGACGTACAGGGTGCGGTACACCAGGCGGACGGGCAGCGTAGGGCGCAGCTTGAGGCGGTCGATGATGATCTTCTTCTCAATGAGGTCATAGACAATGAAACTGAACACCTGAGGGTGACGGTGGCCCAAGGATAGGGGCGACCCACACTTCAACGAGGGCCAGCAACTTGGGGTTGGGGAAGCAGTGCTTTGTAGGAGTTTGAGAAGCAAAGAAGGATGGAAGCGAGAGTCGCCAGTTGTTTTTCACATGCTTGATGACAGAGTCACAGATAGCCGCAGCCAGCTGACTGTGTCAGCAGGTCTCACGGATGCGCACGCTGGGCGGCCCCCTGCCGCAACCCCTGTCCTTGCTCGACATGTGGGCCGTGCTCCGAAACCAGCAATGCCGTGCTCTGCAGCCCCGGCTCAAGCGCACCTGGTAGCTCGCAAGCACGTGCAGCACTACAGTGAGGTTGGTGAACACCATCAGTTGCCAAGGACGGTTGATGCTGTACAGCACCTGGGGGATGCAGGGCAGGGGCGGGCAACCGGGTGAGCCTCGTCCATTAGAGGGCTGGGTAGTTCAGCTGCACACCATGGATCGACTGTGCATGCAGGGCCGACCAACAAACGTGGGCGTTGCTGGGCGCCGCGTGGCAATGCCGTGTGGAGCGGATGCTAGTGTGCCGCGTGCACACTCGAAAAGGGGACCCAGCGGCTTGCCCTTGCGCCGGCCTGACTGGCCAGCGGTGCAGCCCTCGCTCACATTTCCCTCCACAAGGTTTCCAAATGCGTGGTAGCCAAATATGGCCACCATGAAATAGCAGTAAACTGCATAGGACATTGATGCGCAATGGGCAGCAGGGTTTGGGGCTGGTCAGAGTCATGAAATGCAAGGGTAGCGCCCAAAGGAGTGGTGTTGGGACTGATTCCGTGGCAGTACCCACTGCTGCTGACCCTTGTGCACGCCCACTGGGCATCTTTGAGTCTCAGGCCGGAACATCTGGGAGTCTCACTTGTAATGGCATATGCCGTGTAGACTCCGACCTCCATCTGGCGAACAGATGATGCCGGCCCATTGCCGCGCCTCGGGGGCTTCAGGGGGATGGTGGACTGGATCTCCAGAGCCATGTTGTGGCCGCCATAAGCGAAGGCTGTGCGCGTGGGGGCAAAGGGTGGGTCAAAGCAGGTTGAGGCTGGGACTAAGATTGTCCACTTTGGGTTGCGTTTGCATGCCTTTGGCATTTGGCCAGGGCGAAGCAGATGAGGACCCATCAGGAGAGGGCGCAGCGGCAGGAGGAGCAACCGGCCGTTCACGCAGGTAGAAGAGGCCGCCCCAGGCGTCAGATGCCTGGTGAAACCACGCTGCAAAGCTTTTTGGAACCCGACATGCCGGGCTGGCAGTGCCAGAAGGGCAAGGGCATGCAGTGTGAGGAGCCGGCCGCCCTCACCGATGTTGGCAAGCGCGTTAAAGACGCCAAACACGACTTGGGCCGTTGTGCGGTCGGGTTTGGGTCCATACGACACGTTGGCTGCGGACCCATAAACAAGGGGCAGCACCCAAGCAATGGTCGAGTAGGCTAGGGATGCAAAGGCACCCACTGCAGACACCCAGCCGAGCTTGGTGAAGTTTGGAACCTGCCATGTTGGCGATGGTCAGTGTGTATGGCTCGCTCAGTGGCTGTCGTGCAGGAGATCGCAGCAGCAGCATCAAATTTTGGGAGGTGATGCGAGCAGCGCCCTGGCGTTTCGTGCGAGTCTGTCATTACGACAGATTGCAGCTTGCCTGTGACCTGGCAAGCTGTTGGCAACAGCTTGCTGGGGCTAGCCGATGTCTTAAAGCCAGCTGCTACTATGCAATCCAGGGCAGCGACAACCGAGCTAGCTGGTGTGTGACCTTGAAAACTATGCGCGTCGGTGGCTGCAGCTTCAAAACCGTCCGGAGCCCACCTGGCTGAGGATGGCCTCCGCCACCGAGTAGACCACTATCCAGGCCGACAGCCCAAACGACGTGTTGCAAGACTTAAGGTTGGTGTCGGGGTCCACAGATCCGTCGCAAGTGTACTTCCACACACGGCTCAGGGACGCACCCCCCGTGATGGTATCTGCCAGTGCGTGCGTGTGTGGCATGGTGGTGCGCGTAATGAGGGGCAGGTTCGGCCTGTGTGACTGGGCGCATTTAGGGGCGACTGATTACCTGATGACATGCATGGCTGAGAGGCCTCACTGGCGTCCTCGGCCGCCTGGGGTATTCTGTGGCAAGAATGCGCTCTCTGAGCAGGCAGGCGCAAATATACGGAACCCCACTTGCAGAATCTGCTCATGCATGGTCCTTGCGCAAGATCTTGCACAAGGAGCAAGCACAGCCAAGCTTCCTTGGTTTCGCGTGTTCGTTCTCACATGTGATTGCGCCGCCAATGCAGACCATGAGCTGGAAGGGCAACAACATCCAGCGTCCAGCCTTGGGGCCCTGCGGGAGCAACGGCACAACCGGACGCGCGTGATGATGATTCCTGGTCACATGCTTGCTTGCATGGCGGTGGTCAGTCCGTAGTACTGAGGTTGACTGTGGCCGTAGCATGGTCGGCTTCACTAGAGCGTTATCGCACCCGCTTCCCCAGCCCTTACTTGAGCGCGTAACATGGCTATCACGCATGAGACAGAGCAAGGGAACTTACAAAGGCATGTGAAGTGAGCTGGTGGTAGCGATTCATGCGGTGGATTGAGCCGTCCTTGGGGTTGCGCTGCTCGTGAAGCCACGTAAGCTGCAGAATGGTGTACAGGCTGATAAGAGTCGCCAGCACGAGGCTGATGATGCCTGCATACAGCGTGCAGTTGTGATGCAGGACTGTGAGACACTGCGCGAGCATGCTGGCGTGCGTGCGCGTGTGCATGCGATTGTGTGAGTGTATGCGTGTGTATGCGTGCGTGTGTGTGTGTGTGTGTGTCTGTGTATGTGTGCGCGTGCACGCACGTTTGTATGTAGATGTTGCATTGCAAATGAAAGCCAAATTCCGTGTGCGCAGCAACATTTCTCTGCTGACTCCCTGAACTGATCAAGTCCAAGGCACGTCAAGAGTAGGGCCAGATAGACGCCCTCACCTCCGGGCCACAGCAAAGTTGCGAACGAGGCCGGCAGGGACAGCACACCAGCGCCCACCATGGCAGTGGTGTTGTGGTAGCAGCTCTGCCACCAGCTAGCATCCTGTGTGACACGCACACATGCAGGGATGGCAAGAGAGCATGGTGCAAGGGTGTTGGGCAGTTGGAGCACAGCCCTGCTCGTGATCATCACAAGGTCCCGCATGATGCAGGTGGTGTGCGTGGTCATCGTGGCCGCTGCAAAGGTATTTCACCGCACAACACGCAAAACACATATCTGACTTTGGTAGCTGGACAGATGCAGGCGCGCGCGCACCGCCACGTGCCAAGGCAGGCCGGGCGAGTCACTGGCCGGCGGTGAGTCGCCCGGCCGCCAGCAACAGCGTGTCGCCGTCGGCGCACCTTCTCTGCGGTGATCGCGAGCTCCTTGTCCTCCTCCTCGGTTGGCTCCCAGGAGTCATGAATGTCAAAGTAAGCGTCAGGTTCACTGGCAGACTTGCCATCGCGGGAGGCGTCCTCGACATCGGCCGTGACGTTGGCTGCTGGCCGGCTGGTGGCACAGCACGCCGTTCGCAGAAAGAGGGAAGCGAGGGTCAAACGTTATGTGCTGGATATTGACCTAAAGACAACTGCATGCGTGCGGCCCAAGGCGCCTGCGCGGCTTGCACACCTGCGGCTCATTGTCGCTCCGCTGCTCCGCCAAGGCTGCTGCTGCGTGGCGAGTGACGTGTGTTGCGGGAAACGGTGGGGCAAGACTGTTGTGGCAGGTAGTAATTACATTGATCGCATCGTTTGTTTACCAAACTACTTAGCATTTGCGACGGCAAGCGTCGTTCACCATGAGGCTCTCCGTCAAACTGTCGTCCATCGCGTGAGGGCGTCGTGCACCGTGAGGCAATTCGAACGGACAGTTGTCGCAGGCTGCAATGATATATGTCAATGAATGCTTTGGCATGTTACCTGAAACCTTGATTTCTGCCTGGGCAGCTCTTTGGAGAGAAAAGGCCTGCAAAGACTTGCGTACTGAGATGACGACCAACATGCAACCTGGACCTTTGCAAGCACCAGTCACATCAAAACACCTGTAATAAGTCAGTGGTAGTAGCACAATGCTATCTCCCAGGCGATGTGCCCGTGCGGTTGGATGTGTGATTGGTGGTCAAATGTTGCACAGCAAGTCAAAGCAGATGCCGGGCCTGCAGGGCATGCAGCGCCGTCGTCCCAGAAGCTCTTGCATGGCTTCAGCGCAGATGGTCATGAGCTTGCATTGTTGCACAAAGAAACTGTGGTTCATGTGTAGCTGGCCCCATACTCCAGGAACGTGCCGCCCGCCACTGGGACATAGCGCATCCACTCCTCCATAAACAGGCTACCCACCGCCCACCGGCCGCCAGGAGCCGAGTAAGCGCGGCCCTGCACGCGCACACGCAACAGTACGTGCGCGCCACGCAGGTGCTTGCTGCTTGCGGGGAACCGTGCAGCCAGCGCCTGCGTGATTGTATTGTGGGAAGGGGCCTGCAAGTGCTGATTGCGTAGGGGCAGATGTGAGTGCGTGGCTGGCCCAGAGGCAGCGAGCCGTGGCTGGCCTGCCAGCTTTTGACTCAATGAGCTATGTCATGCTCAAGATACCGTAGCGCATCGGTATCATGTGCAACAAGCAAGGCAACAACAAGGCATTCGCCCACCGCGCCCCGCACCTGGTGCTCCGTCTCAAAATACAACATGCAGCTCCACAGCGGAGGCCACGATGGGCCGTCGCAGCCGCCCGCATGGCGCGCGTGAACCCATCGCTGTGGCACGTACTCCATACATCCGTCGAATACAGATACAAACCGTCCGCAATCGGCTGCCACCACCTGAAGCGCCAGCAATCACGAAAGTAAGGGGGAGTGTCATCACAGGCGTGCCCCTACTTACACCAAACAATTCTGCAGCTGGTAACCCTACCGCCCTGACCCCACACCACTGCAGCTGGGGCAGGGTCAGGCCCACGGCTGCATCTCTTCACCTTGTACAGGACGGTCGGCGTCTGTAGGGTGACAGGCTGCCAGCCCGGCGGCAGAAGCTGAGGATTGGGTCGCAGCTGCGCACAGCGCTCCTCCCAAACTCTGGCCAACTTCAAATCCGCCTAGAAAGATGGGGCAAACCATCCGGTGGAATCGACAAGGGCCATTGTGCTGCAGTTGCAAGGTCCAGAGCCCAGGGCAACATGTGCCGCTCTGCAGTTGCAAGCAGGTGCGAGAGCCCTGCTGTGCAATTTCATGTCCAGCATGGCGCTGTATTATCAGCTGGATGCTACGTGTGTACAGAGCCGCCCCCCACCTTGCGTTTGAGCTGGACATAAGCACGGTGGTCCTGCTCCCGCTGCCGCGCCAGGAAGCATGCCAGGTCAGTGTTGCCGTGCGCTTTGTCGGCGTCGGCGCGTCCCGACTTGTTGGACGTATTGTAGAGATTAAACATCTTGTTGTTGAACCAGCTAGAGCCAAGGCCATCACCCACCTTGCCATCAATGGGCCTTGTGCTGATGCGCTCGTGACACGCCATGCGTCGCCACGCTGCCGCTAGCCGGCGGCCCGAAGTGTAGGTGGCCGCGCTCGAGTTTGGTTAGATTGAAGCCGCCTCTGGCGCCAATTACGCGTACACGGTCCAGTTCTACTCCTGAACAGCCGCGAAGGCCTGCTTGATGGTCCACCGCAAGCAAAGTGCCGCGTGGTGCGGCGCGCACAGCTCGGAGCGCGCTGTGTCGCGTCAGCGGTCTCCACGCTATAGGCTGCAGGGCTCAGCGTATCGCAGAGTCTTTGCAAGCATGTGCTTGTGACAAGGTGTCTGCGATTTTCGAGTGACGTGGGCTGGTCGGTTCGCACGTTCGTGATTATGCACATCGCAGATGTGCCCCAAGCAGGGCGGCCAGCAGGCCAGCGGGGCTTATAATACGTGAAACATCAGTTCGCATTCATTTTTCCTGTGGCGGCGCAGAAGGGATGCCATGGCGGTTTTTGGACCTGATGGAAGGAGAGGAGGAGCTGCCGAGAGTGTGCCCAGAGCTCTTCATGGGAAGCCTTACCTTCCCCGCACTCAATCGTATGGTCATCAATTGGCTTTGCTTCATTGACATTCACCAGCATCAGAGCATCACACGCTTGCCTTCACGCACAAAAGGTCCCAGCACCCAGCAATCGCCGGGACGGCTCACAAAGGCCTCAGCCTGGACGCGCGCGCGACAGAGGCTGCAATGGATCGCGTGGCGATGCTCGCCATGGACACGGCCCAGAAGGCCGCGCACCACAAGAGACGGGCCCACAGCTCGTCCGGTGCACAGGTGAGCCGCAAGGCCTGATCGTGGTGCAGCAGTGCTCATGGCCTTTGATGAGGTTGTTGGAGGCTGGTGGAGGTGGCGGGCGTGGCCCCGGCCTCGCAGCGCGCATCTCGAATTCGCTTTGCAGGCCGACAGCCTGAGCGGTGTGTGGGAAGGGGTGCTCATGATTTTCTCGAGGTTAAATGTATCTGCATGAGCTGCGTGTAAGGCCACGAACCCTCGTTGGTGCGGGCACCGGGAGCCCGCCACGCCGGACTGCGAGGCTTGGTCGAGCATGTTCAGATCTGATTACGGGTGATAACGGCGTCACTTTGGCCAGAGTAACTCTGGTGCCGATCAGGCAGGCGTCTATGTCACCTCTGCCCGGCCCCGCCAGCGCTGCACCCTGCGTCGACACCCCGCCTCCTCGTTGGCCCCTCCTCCTGCTCCTCAATTTCCAGAAGCGCGGCTCGGGCACTAAGGTGCCTCGTACCGACAGCGGCAGCGATGGCAGCATGATGGACGTGTGCTGCACGCAGACATCTGACTCCGCCCAGTCCACCTTGAGCGCCGCAGCAGCTGCCGCCGCCGCAGCTGCAGGGGGTGCAGCCGCCGCCGCGGTGACCGCCACCGGTCCTAGCGCAGCATGTCGCAACGACTGTTGCACGCACCCGGACGCTGCGGAGCAGCTGGTCGCGTCAGAGGAATGTGAGTTCAGCGGCAGCGAGGTGGAGGGCCCGGTGGTTGACAAGTACATCAAGGGCACGAGGCTGATTGTCAACGGCTGGTTCCAGGCCTGCAGGTGTGCTGGAGCTGTGCTGGGTCTGTTCCATAACATACTGGTCGCGTTCCAGACGCTGCGTTTAGACCTGAGGAGGCTTGTGTGCACACCCAAAAGCACGCACACGCTTGCTGCGGTGCCGTACACGTCCGAGTCGCGCGCAGCTTCCCCAAGACGCACGCTCCCTCGGCCGCCGGCGCCCTCTCACCCGCAGGGGCTGCAACGAGCCCACGGCGCACACCTCGGACATCAGCGCGCGGGACGTACCCCTTTGCCCCAGGTGTGCACAGCAGGTCGTTCCCGGCCTGTGTCGCAGATGCCTTCTTGGGCGCACCAGTGATGGGCCGCAACGCATTCGAGCAGGTTTCATCAGCTCCCAACTCCCTCGCTCCGGCCACGCTGACCAAATCCCCAGATGCCAGCAGAAGTACAACGGCATGGTGTCCGGCGAGTACCCCCACAACGTCGGCGCCGTGGACACCGCCGTCGAGCCCCTGTCGTACTGGCTGCCCCGCATGCTCGGCAGCATGCCGCGGATGGAGCCGGACGCGCGGCGCAACTTCTGCGACCAGCTCGTCCTGCGGCAGGACGACGCGTGGCTTGCGCTCATCAAGAACTCGTGAGGCCGACGCGCGGCCGCCGGCGCCGCACCGTGCGAGGCGCCGCCACGCAGGCTGGCCGGCATCGGGGTGGCGCCGGTCGTGCTGCGACCAGCCGCGTCTCGGCCGTTGCCGGGCGCTGCGTGTACTCTTGAGTGGAGGGGGGCCTGGCGAGTTGGCCGGGTTGACCTTTGCTGACACATGCGTCTGCGCCGTAGCTGGCGCTGGATGTCGGTTGACCCATTCTGTTTCGCTTGGGAGGGATTGCTGGTTGCTCGCCCAGGAACCCTGATTTCTGTCGCTACGTGCGACCTGGCCCCAAGGCACTTTTCGCTGCACACGCGTGCTTCCCAGCAACAATATTCTGGCAGCTGAGACACCCTGCCTGAACACCGCCGCTCCAGTCGCCCGAGGGAGGGAAGCCTGCACGCGGCCGTCTGTTGTGGACGCCGCAATGTGGCTGCTCGATTGAATCGCGCATGACCTGGTGTCGCACTGTTGCTCGCTGATCGCTGGCCAGGTCTTTTGCAAGCAGCGCCCCGTCGGGCCTACATCACCTGCCCTTTTGCCTTCCAGGCCGCGGCGTCCTGGCCTTGCGCAGTGTTCTAGCCTGCAACGCTCGCAGCCCCACACCTGCTGGCGCCGTGCCGGCTGCACCGCTGGGTGATGCTGCTTGCCAGGTCGCAGCGCCCAGCGGGCCGCATAATGCGGTCTTTTGTGTGAGACGATCGCGGGCCTGTGAGGGAGGGAGCGGCACGCTGCCATGCCATGTCACGTACGATGCATGCGCACCCAAGTGCACACATCGACGCACGTGCAGCCCCATGGGACAGATGCCAGCCACCGCATCACGTCCCATCAACATCTCCCGCATGAACTCACTTATAGCGGATGATGCTGCCACGCCCTCGTCCCCGCCATCACGGGCCAGGCGTGCACAACCTGCGGTGCCAGGACGCGGCCGCTTCTATGCGCCCACCATCGCTGCTTGTTGCGCGCCTTCCCCAGCTTTGGTGCCACCCCCAGTCCTGGCCTCCGCGCCGCACTTTTTGATTTTTGTTGCTAGGGCAGGATGTGTGTGCTGCGCCTTGGGCGAACGGCGCACGCTGTAGCTCTGAACTTGACGGCGGACTCCTGGGCCGACTCACCCCGCGCGTCCCGAATTCCAAAGATGAGAGCGTTCTGGGGTCGCGCGACGCGCGCCGCTTGTCGCGTTTGTCGTGCTTTGCACTCAACGCCGCTCGCGACGCGCAGCAAGGCACCTTTTGCACCTGTCGCTGCACCTTGGCTCTCTGCTTTGGGAGTGTGCCGTGCGCGTTGGCGCTTCGCGTCACGCCCCTGGTGCCTATCTGTGCGCCGGCGCCTCAGGTCGTGGGTGGCCGGCGCAGGGTTGGCCCTGGTTGGTGGCGCGCCGCCCCTCACCCCCTGCACAGTCAAGCCTCCTGCAACTAGAGATAAGGCTTTGACTTGCACTGGAGGGCGCTGGTGACGCGTGCCCTGCGCTGTGTGCACGAGACCGTTCGCTGTCGTCGCTGCCAGGCTGCAGCG